AAGTAATTTAATGAACGTATGTCGGTGACAGCCTTGTGTCTGGTTTTTGAAGTAATTTGACAAAATCTCGGGGATCCATGTTGTTTTGTTTTTGAAGTAACTTGAAAGAATCTTGGGGACCCGTTCTGTTTTGTTTTTGAAGTAGTTTGATAGAATGTCAGGGACCTCTTCAATTTTGTTTTTGAAGTAGTTTGAAAGAATTTCGGGAACCCATTGTGTTTTGTTTTTGAAGTAGTTTGAAAGAATCTCGGGGACCGTGTTTTGTTTTAGAAGTAATTTGGAAGAATTTCAGGCCCCCTTGAGTCTGGTCTTTAAGTAGTTTGAAAGAATCTCTGAGACCTCTTATGTTTTGTTTATGAAGTAATTTGATGAAAGAATGTGACCCTCTTGTGTTCGGTTTTTGAAGTAGTTTGAAAAAATTTTGGGGACATCTGCTATTTTGTTTTTGAAGTAGTTTAAAAGAATCTTGGGGACACCTTCTGTTTTATTTTTGAAGTAGTTTGAAAAAAAATTCGGAGACCCCTGTTGTTTCGTTTTTGTAGGAAGTAGTTTAAAAGAATTTCAGGGACCCTTTTGTTTTGTTTTTTAAATAATTTGAAAGAATCTCGAGGACTCCTTCTGTTTTGTTTTTGAAGTTCTTTGAAAGAATTTCGGGGATCCTTAGAGTTTTGTTTTTGAAGTAGTTTGAAAGAATCTCGGAGACCTCTTGTGTATTATTTTTGAAGTAACTTGAAAGAATCTCGGGGACCCCTTGTGGGTTTTATTTTTGCAATAATTTAAAGAATCTCGAGGACCCCTTCTGTCTTGTTTTTGAAGTAAATTGAAAGAATCTCGGGGACCCTTTGTATCTGGTTTTTGCAATAGTTTGAAAGAATCTCGGGGACCCCCAGTGGGTTTTGTTCTTGAAATAATTTGAAAGAATCTGGAGGACTCCTTCTGTTTTGTTTTTGAAGTAATTTGAAAAAATCTCGAGGACCCGTTCTGTCTTGTTTTTCAAGTATTTCGAAAGAATTTCGGGGATCCTTAGTGTTTTGTTTTTGAAGTAGTTTGAAAGAATCTCGGAGACCTTTTATGTATTATTTTTGAAGTAATTTGAAAGAATCTCTGAAACCTCTCGTGTTTTGTTTTTGAAGTAATTTGATGAAAGAATGTCGGTGACCCACTTATGTCTGGTTTTTGAAGTAGTTTTAAAGAATCTCGGAGACCTTTTGTGTATTATTTTTGAAGTAATTTGAAAGAATCTCGGGGACCCCTTGTGGGTTTTCTTTTTGCAATAATTTGAAAGAATCTCGAGGACCCCTTCTGTCTTGTTTTTGAAGTAATTTGAAAGAATCTCTGAGATCCCTTATGTTTTGTTTTTGAAGTAATTTGAAAGTATCTCGGAGACCCCTGTTGTTTCGTTTTTGTAGTAGTTTAAAAGAATTTTGGGGCTCCTTTGTATCTGGTTTTTGCAATAGTTTGAAAGAATCTCGAGGACCCCTTCTGTCTTGTTTTTGAAGTAATTTGAAAGAATCTTTGAGATCTCTAATGTTTTGTTTTTGAAGTAATTTGAAAATATCTCGGAGACCCCTGTTGTTTCGTTTTTGTAGTAGTTTAAAAGAATTTTGGGGCTCCTTTGTATCTGGTTTTTGCAATAGTTTGAAAGAATCTCGAGGACCCCTTCTGTCTTGTTTTTGAAGTAATTTGAAAGAATCTCTGAGACCTCTTGTGTCTTGTTTTTGAAGTAATTTGAAAAAATCTCGGGGATCCATGCTGTTTTGTTTTTGAAGTAGTTTGAAAGAATCTCAGGGACCCCTTGTGTTTTGTTTTTGAAGTAACTTGAAAGAATCTTGGGGACACCTTGTTTCTGGTTTTTAAGTAATTTGAAAGAATCCCGGGGACGCCTTTTTGTTTCGGGGACCCCTTGTGGGTTTTTTTTTAAATAATTTGAAAGAATCTCGAGGACCCGTTCTGTTTTGTTTTTGAAGTAATTTGATAGAATGTTAGGGACCTCTCCAATTTTGTTTTTGAAATAGTCTGAAAGAATTTTGGGAACCGTTTGTGTTTTGTTTTTGAAGTAGTTTGAAAGAATCTCGGGGACCGTATTTTGTTTTAGAAATAATTTGGAAGAATTTCAGGCCCTCCTTGAGTCTGGTTTTTGAAGTAGTTTGAAAGAATCTCTGAGACCTCTTGTGTTTTGTTTTTGAAGTAGTTTAAAAGAATTTTGGGGACACCTTCTGTTTTATTTTTGAAGTAGTTTGAAAAAAATTTCGGAGACCCCTTTTGTTGTGTTTTTGAAATAATTTGAAAGAATCTCGTGGACTCCATCTGTTTTGTTTTTGAAGTACTTTGAAAGAATTTCGGGGATCCTTAGTGTTTTGTTTTTGAAGTAGTTTGAAAGAATCTCGGAGACCTCATGTGCATTATTTTTGAAGTAACTTGAAAGAATCTCGGGGACCCCTTGTGGGTTTTATTTTTGCAATAATTTGAAAGAATCTCGAAGACCCCTTCTGTCTTGTTTTTGAAGTAATTTGAAAGAATCTTTGAGATCCCTTATGTTTTGTTTTTGAAGTAATTTGAAAGTATCTTGGAGACCCCTGTTGTTTCGTTTTTGTAGTAGTCTAAAAGAACTTCAGGGACCTTTTTTGTTTTGTTTTTGAAGTAAATTGAAAGAATCTTAGGGCTCCTTTGTATCTGGTTTTTGCAATAGTTTGAAAGAATCTCGGGCACCCCCTGTGGGTTTTGTTTTTGAAGTAATTTGAAAGAATCTCGGAGACCACTTGTGTCTTGTTTTTGAAGTAATTTGATGAAAGAATGTCAGTGACCCCTTGTGTCTGGTTTTTGAAGTAATTTGAAAAAATCTCGGGTACCCATGTTGTTTTGTTTTTGAAGTACATAGTTTGAAAAAATCTCGGAGACCCCTTGTGTTTTGTTTTTGAAGTAACTTGAAAGAATTTTGGGGACACCTTGTTTCTGGTTTTTGAAGTAATTTGAAAGAATCTCGGGGACCCCTTTGGTTTCGAGGGCCCCTTGTGGTTTTTTTTTTTAAATGTTTTGAAAGAATCTCGAGGGCCCGTTCAGTTTTATTTTGGAAGTAGTTTGATAAAATGTCGGGGACTTCTTCAATTTTGTTTTTGTAATAGTCTGTTAGAATTTCGGGAACCCTTTGTGTTTTGTTTTTGAAGCAGTTTGAAAGAATCTCGGGGATCGTGTCTTGTTTTAGAAGTAATTTGGAAGAATTTCAGGCCTCCATGGGTTTGAAAGTATCTCGAGGACCTCTTTTGTTTCGGGGACTCCCTGTAGGTTTTGCTCTTAAAGTAATTTAAAAGAATCTCGGGGATCCCTTCTGTTTTGGTTTTGAAATAGTTTGAAAGAATCTTGGAGACCACTTGTGTCTTGTTTTTGAAGTATTTTGGAAGAATCTCTGAGACCTCTTGTGTTTCGTTTTTGAAGTAATTTGATGAAAAAATGTCGGGAAACCCTTCTGTGTCTGGTTTTTGAAGTAGTTTGAAAACATTTTGAGGACACCTGCTATTTTGTTTTTGAAGTAGTTTAATAAAAGAATCTTGGGGACACCGTTTGGTCTTTTTTTTTTGAAGTAAATTGAAAGAATCTCGGGCACCCTTTGTATTTTGTTTTTGAAGTAGTTTAAAAGAATCTCGAAGTTCTGTGATCCGTGATGAAGCATATAAAACTTGGATCCGGACATCAGCACACTGGTGCACTACAGCTTTTGATCCCTCTGGAAAATTCAAGATTTCCAGATGGTCCTATTCGTCCTTGCCCTTCATAAATATGTCAAATCAAATAACAAAAATGTAAACTCAAAAATGGTGTGAAGCTTCAAGACGCGCCTTTTTATCATGTGACATTGATTACAAATTTGTAATATAGTTTTTTCACAATGTCCAATTTATTAAAGTACCATTGTTTTAGGCACCACAATTATCCATGGCATATGGATGACTCGATTATAATCAATATTGATCACCAGTTATCAATAGATTCCTTATATGTAAGGTAGACGCAATTTGTGACGAACGAACCGAAAAATAAGTCGAAAGTGTTGGTAGAATGGACAGGAAATGTTAAAGATACCTATGGGAAAGAAAATGTTAATGGGGAAAATATAAATATGTTCATCTCGTACTATCACTTTCTGTAATATCGTTGACTGGATACACAAAAAAATAATTTTTCATTAGTACATATAATTTAAAATCACAAAAGTTCATTCATTATAAATGAAAATTACATCTTTGTATAGTATGCAACCAACAATATACCAGAGACTGAAATTACGAGATGAACGCAGTTATAAGACATTTCCCGCCCATTCTGTCAATATATTTTTTATTTTTAATTGAAGAGCTTCTGTCTATTTCCGTCCTACAAAATATAAGACCTACATTTTTTTGTCCAATTTTCGCTCATCACGACACGAATTACGTTTGCTTGTTACATAATAATATGAATCTAAAAATTTTGACAAATTTACTTTTGTTTGCGATTTCATAAATCTATTTAAATTAGACTGATAAATTAGATTTTTTTTTAGACGACATATACCGTATGATAAAAAAATGTTCGTAAAATTTATCTTAAAACTAATAATGTTGGTATTGCAGCTATTTGACCCTTTGACAGTTTTTTTAACATTAAATTTCAATGGTTCCTAGATGACCTTTTTCGAAATGTATTAATAATTATAAATTATAATAGCTGTTTGAGTTCCTGAAACGTCAGCCCACAAAAACAAACAAGGTGTATTTAGGTAGGTACTTATTAAAAATAATTTGTTCAGAAAACAGTCATCCAAGTCCCCATCTGACGAATTCCCGCACATGCAGCACCCACGCTTTATTTTGAGTCATTCTGTCAATATTGGCCCTTTCAGAACTCCTGGTAGCAAAATCGCAGAATCACTCCTCCAACTTCAACATTTTGGTTTGAAATTTGACTGTCGCCTATCGGTGGCGCCCTCTCCGGCGCGCTCCTGAACCACTCGACGCGTGCGCTTTTTCGGCAAATATCACGAATCTATTGAAGTCGTCTCCTGACTTTCCCGATGATGTGTGGTGTGCATTGTAAATTTTGTAGTTTACTTCATGTTTTGTGTTGGAATTAACTTTAGTTCGGTGTTTTGTCCGAGACCGGAGTGAGGCAGCGTCCCAGCCACATTGACGTACAAGATGTAAGTGCCTGTTTTACGAAATTACTCAATGCAAACAATTCCCGGCCGTGTTCCCACGAAATCGATTGTGTTGTTTGAACCTCCACCGACACTCGAGGCCCGTTTTTCCATTTTCCCCGAAAAGCCCCCCAACGACGAAAACAAATCCCATCGCAGTCGCCTGGGCACGATCGACGGCAGCGTCGATTTAAAAAACGTCACAATCGCTGTCAATTTTTCGGTTCTTATAGGTTAGGTCGATTTATTGTCCTAATCACGCCCTATTTTGCGTAACTGTGGGTGGTTTTGGGTGCGAAAGCGGCCGAAATGGAGTTTTTCTAGTTGTGTGTGAGGCCGTGCTCGCAAGGAAACACTTTACGTAAGTAGTTGCGGTTTGGTGCAGTAACAGCCCCCGTGTCATTATTCTAAAACTGCGCAAATTTCATTGAGGAGTTGTAGTGGTTTTTGGCCGAGTTCCAATCGCGAATAACTCGAGTCAACATGAAATTTCATGTTCCAATCAATAAATACCTCCGAGTGTGTTTTTGGAGGAGTTTACGACGTGATGGAGCTACATCAACGTGGGATTGTGTAATTCGGGATTAATGATCAAAGCGATCTGATTAGTTCAAAGCTTCGAAAATAAAAGGCCGTGTTTGTAGCAGGGGCGGGATTTAGAACCGCGGACTTGCAAGTTTGGTTTGACTTTACACTAGGTGAAGTCTTCCCCTTGCGGGAATCTTTATAGACGTTGCCATTAGGCCCCGTTGTCGCACCCTAAATTTGGGTCCGAGCAACAGCTTGAGAATTTTCCTCGCAGAAAGGGGTCGAAGTTATCAGAGTTGGAAGACCTTTTTGCAGAGTGACAAATCACGGGCTCCGTGAAATTGGTCCAAAATGGCTTGGGTCCTGGACAATTGGGAGCAAAAAATCGTTGTCACGTAATGTAGGTGTAAAACTTTTACAACTCTATTATAACAATTGTAAAATTCACGATTTAACTAATGAGAACATAATCCCAAACCATTAAAATCTTTCACTACGCTTGTTTACTTAAAATTATGTATTTATGGGGCAAATGGAGGTTGGTTGAACCTTATTTATATAGGTTTGTTCAAAAAATTACAATTAATATAAATAAACCGTTCAGGATGTTTTTAGATAAAGGTAGGCCATGTAAATCTAGTAATTTGGTTGGCAACCAATTCCGAATATGCAAAACTCCCTAATGAAAAATTAAGCTTATCATATAAGGTTAAGTTATTTTTAATGTAAGGTTAGAAAAACTGTAACACTGTTACTAATAATTTCACACTTTGTATTTTCTGTTCCACCAAGTACGATTCAAAGCACTGGAAGGAAAAAATTATTATTTCAGTATTTAATAAGCATAGTCAATATAATCACATTTTAAAATTCACATTTGAATAAGTAATAATTAAGTCTTAATTTCAATAATCCGTATCAACATTTTTGATTATGTTATATAATTATTCTTAGCAGTTAACATAAAATACTGAGAAGGAGTAAATAACTGAATAATATATATAAAACTCTAGTAAAGTGTACCTAATTAAAGAATAAATGACGAATTCTGTATACTTATATGATGTTGGAAATTTTTACTTCCCGAGCGTCTCTCGTTTCCGTCTGTCTGTCTGTCTGTCTGTCGTCCCGGATTTTTACTAGGCAGATAATCTCCGAAAGTACTGGACCGATTGTTGTCAAATTTTGTATTTATATTAGGAATATCATGTACATGCTAAAGCGCCAACCAAAATTTGTCTAATCATCCCCACCAATAAAGCGATGACGTCACTTCAAAATTGTACGTAGTAAATGGGTTTTAAATTGTATTAATTAACATAGTCTTACACATGTAGTTTATGATTCCGATTTGAGTTTTTACCCAAAACAAACGCCCAGATTTTTGGAAAAAAAATCGAAATTATAAACCAACATTTTGCAATTTAATTTTGAATCTGCAAAACCGAATGCTTTGAAATCTTGAAAATATTTTAAAGTTATAGGCATGGTAAATTTTTGATCAAAATGTAGTTGCTCATCCTCCCTAAAATATTGATGCTGTCACCTCAAAATATTGCTGAATAAATCCTATCTTAAATGTGACAAATATGATGATTCTATATATGTGATTTGTCACTGAATTAATATTTTTTAGATTTGGGTGACTCAAAAAATGAATGAATGAATGAATTTATTTAATTGAATAAATCAAGAATTGCAAAAATGAATACTTTAAAATCTTGCATGTAACCAAAATATATCTGTTTATTCCCCCTAAGAAAAAATTTTGCTAAATAATGAGTTTTTACTTGTGATTTATCATTGCATTCATATTTTTTAGGTTTATCATTTTCTCAGAGGATATGTCATTTGCCAAAATTAGTCTTATCTTAGCAAGGACTAGCGCCGCCCACCCGCCCTCTATATTCTTAGAATATATGGCATTTGCCAAAATCAGTTTTGTCTTAGCAAGTACTAGCCCCGCCCACCCACCCGCTATTTTCTCAGAGGATTATGTCATTTGCCAAAATCAATCTTATCTTAGCAAGTACTAGCATTTTGGCAAATGACACATTTTAAGAAAATAGAGAGCAGGTGAATGGGGCTAGTAGTTGCTAAGATAAGATTTAATTTGGCAAATCACATATCGTCTGATGAAATAGGGGGCGGGTGGGCGGGCCTAGTACTTGCTAAGGTAAGACTTATTTTGGCAAATAACAGACCCTGTGAGCAAATAGCGGGCGGGTGGGCGGGTTTCTAGTACTTGCTAAGATAAGACTTATTTTGGCAAATAACATACCCTCTGATAAAATAGGGGGCGGGTGGGCGGGGCTAGTAGTTGCTAAGCTAAGACTTATTTTGGCAAATGACATATCCTCTGAGCAAATAGGGGTTGTAAAAACTAAATTTAAAAGGTGTTAAATTGCAAATTTTCATAGGAACGAGTTAAATTCCTAAATCTGATTGAGTGTTTATTTTTTATGTTTCATTCTACTTTAGGAGTGAGATAAGTTGTGTTGAAACAACTTTGGACCAATTTTTTGTACCTTTTTATTGAAATTTTTTGTCATAAAAAAATAAAATTTTCGAATAACAATATCTTTTTTTTCAAAATTACTTTGTCTTTTTTATTTGATATAACCCCTCTAATGTTTTTATTTTTGAAGATAGGTCCTTTGTTCTTTGGGCAAGTTTGTATCGTACTAGAAGATCTATTTGATATTTGATGGTAAACACATTATTATTTAATTCTCACTTTCGGTAACACCGGAAATTACATCAACTTTATATTTTTAAATGGAACACCCAGTACATATTTTAACAAACGAATCGTTTGAATTTTTTACCTCAAAAAGTGAAAAACGACAATTTTCTAAAATTAATGATACAAAGTTTTCAATAGAATCGATGAAAAATTAATATTTCTTTACATCTAGTAGCCTGAAAAATTAACAACCATGTGTTCATTCTCATAGTTTCATCAAATTTAAATAAAAAAAAAGTTTTTTGATCGATAAAAACCATAATTTCCATAATTTTGCTGAACAAATCATATCTTAAATGTGCAAAGTGTGATGGTCCATACTTGTGATTTATCACTGCATTAAAATTTTTAGATTTGCCTATATAGGGTGCCTCAAAAAGATTAATAAAGCAGTCAATTTTTTTTTTTTTTTGAATAAATCGAGAATTGGAAAACTGAATGCTTTGAAATCTTGCAGACGTTTTAAAGTCATTGTAAACATGGTAAATTGTTAATAAAAATAAATCTTTTTATTCCCTCCAAAAAATTGATGACGTTATCTCAAAATTTTGCCGAATAAATTCTACACATAATGTGAAAATATGATGAGTTTTTACGTGTGATTATCATTGCATTCATATTTTTTATTGATCAAATTAAGAACGAGTCACCTCATTTTCCCGAAAATGTGAAAATACAAAAGTCTTTGATAAGAATTATAATAAACATTTTGTCGATTGTAGCTTACTACTTAATAGCTTTGATCTTCTCTTTTGAAAGGACGAACTCGTTCAAATCAAACTAATTATTTCTACGTGACATTCTTCGGATGTATAAACATGGACACTTTCAAGTTGTTTTTTTTATCGAGGATAAGTTAAGGACGTACAGTAATGGAGTCCATTGGGCAATTTGATACTTCCATATTTTCTCGATGTTTGATAACCCGTAGCTAGGGGGAGGCTAGGGGATGCTGGGCCTCCCCGAAATCTAGACAAGTTATAATTAACCAAATGTGGATTACAACATCGAAAATCAAAATAAAATGTAGTGTTTTATTCAATACGCGGAAGTCAGAGCAATAAAAAAGTCTGGACCGTCGGCATTGTGATCCGGTATTTGTCTTTAATTACGAGTACCATAAATGATTTTCCGTTCAGTCTTCAGTCTCGATTATTAAAAAATGTGGATGACATTAACACAAAATTTTGTAATAGAAAAACTCACTTTTAACAAACGGTTAGCACGTTTCTTTACCTTTACTCAAATATTAGATGCATATTTTTATTTTGGCTTATAATGGTTGCCATAGAAAAGAATAAAATTCGCAAAATCAAATCTTTACATTTTTTGAAAAAGCTGGATTTGACAAGCTGTACTTTATGGGTGAGGGAAGTTCTGTCTGTTCTTCGATCAATTTTTTACCTCAAAAAATGAAAAACAACAATTTTCTAAAATTAATAATAAAAAGTTATTCAGTAAAATAGAGAAAAATTAATATTTCTTTATAAAAATCTAGTAGCCCGAAAAATTAACAACCATGTATGTTCATTCTCACAGTTTCAACAAATTTAAATAAGAAATTTTTTTTTGATCGACAAAAATTATTTTTGTTTTAGTTTTGTGTTGTTCGATACATATTTCCGCACGTCAATGAATGCCTTATGTGGCACTTGCTATAATCTCACTCACGCGTTGTTTCAAGAGATCTTTGTCTCTCCATTGATCAAAGTAAACATTATCTTTTATG